AATAATATAATTGACAATTAACACTTACTAAACTTATAACTAATTAATATATAACGCTTTATCACCGGGAAGACGACTGTTTGTCCCAAGGAGGCGTGCAAAAGCCTCTCATTAACAATATGATCGAGATTGAGTGTGGGTCTTCAAAGATTGCCTACCTTATATTCGGAATCTTGAAACGGTATTCGTGGAAGCTTAGACAGGCTTACACATCAACTTCGGCAATTCCTGACGAAGAAGGTGGAGGAGATGTTACTCTCAGCACATCTCTAAAGTTATGCATTCATCTAAAACCTGTTACTGTTACATGTTGTTGGGAGACTTCAACGCAAAATTAGGCACAAGAACAGACAAAGAGCTAAAGCTAAGAGAGACTTAAAATTGGACAATGGAACTCAAATGGTCAAGATCTGGATGACTTTATGGAGAAGAAGAGAGTTTTTAGAGTGAATATTTTTATTCTTTGAAAGCGGAGATATTCTTGTCCGAACAATTTAACAAAAAATGAGATTGACTTTATTTTGATGACCAGACGACAACTGTAAAGCGATGTTTCAGTCAACGCGAGGGTAAAAACTGGTAGCGACCAATAGATAGTAAAAGGCACAAAAGTAATGTACCGTTCTTGTCTTGTTTTATCCAAATCGCCGTAAACTTTGAGCTCAAATTACAAAATTGTTTTCAGTGCTAAAAAGTGTGGCGCGGACCACACTGGATGGAGTGACGACTGCGGACTGTTAAGACTTTCAGGTTGTTCAGTGCCATAATTATCATGTGTAGGATATTATTTATTAAAAAATGAAATAGGTTTTACTAAGAATAAAGTATTTGCTATGTGAAGTAAAATTACAAAGTACCTCGATTCAATAACATAATGATCAGAAGATCGATAATGTAAAGTATACTATTAAGTATTTCACTTCAATACTAGTAATAAAAGTGAAATTATGCTCTTTATAAAAATATATCTTTAAGCTGCAAAAATAAAAAATATAATTCATAAGTCATAGGGGGATGAGTCGCTCGCGTCCGTAGGCTTCGACCACCTAACCTTAGCCCACCCTACACGTGTCCCCCGGGTGGCGCTAAACGAGCGACAAAGCCGAAAAAAATAAACTCGGCTCCTCGCCGTATGGTAGCGGCGTAAAATCTACCACCACCCCTTGTTCGCACCATGTGTCAGGAAATAAAAGAAATGGCCCCGAGTTCCCGGCGCCCCTTTAATGGGGCAGGGGTGCGAAGAATCTCCGGGAGAAAAACCGGCGACGAGGTTCGCCACCCGTCACGTTCTGTCTCCCGGAGGGGCGAAAAGTGGATTGCGGAAACCCATCTGGCTACGCTGAATGTATGTGGAGGAATGAATGATAAGATGGATGAAGTATGCGAAATGATGAATGACAGAGGAATAGATGTGTTATGTGTGAATGAGACGAAACGAAAGGGAAAGGATACCACTGCGTTACAGCGTATAAGAATAGAGAAGTTACAAGATGAAGATGTGAAAAAGAAGTATAAATGTAGACTGAGAGAAAATATTAGATGTTTGAATGAGTTGTGTATGAATTATTTAGACTTGAATACTGTGTGGGATAATATTAAGAAAGGTTTGGTGGATGCCGCCACCGAAGTATGTGGTGTAAGTAAGAGAACAAATGAAAGGAAAAGTAATACGTTGTGGTGGGATGATGAGGTACGGGTGGAAGTTGAATCAAAGAAGAAAGCATGGTAAGATTTACTAGCAACCAAAGCTGGTAATTCTTCTGGTATGAATGATGAGATTGAAAGAAAAAAGGCAGAATTTAGACGTCTAAATAAGAGAGTAAAAGAAGTTGTTGAAAGGAAAAAGAAAGAAAGAACGGATAAGAATGATAGAAGAGTATCTGATAATTTCCAGGCTAACATAAAAATGTTCTGGAAACTCGTAAGAACTGCCAGGGGAAATACAAAACAGCCTATAATTAATGCTATAAGAGACGAGAATGGATGTATTCTGAATGATGAAGTTTCAAATTTAAACAGATGGAAGGAATACTTTGAAAGCGTGTTTATGAGTGAAGAGTCGTCTGAATTAAATGAACTAGAAATTCCGAAAGTAGTGGAAAGGGGTATGGAGATAAGTGAAGATGAAATAATGAAAGCAATGATAAGCATGAAAGCAGGTAAGGCAGCTGAATATGATATAGTATCACTCGAGATGCTAAGGGCTGGAAAGGGAGTGGTGGCAGGCCTGCTGTACACCTTGTTTAATTTATGTTGGGAATTAAAACGGGTACCGGATGACTGGTGTAAAGCAGTTATAGTACCAATATATAAAGGAAAAGGGTCACAGCAGGACTGCAAAAACTACCATGGTATCAGCTTGCTTAGTATTATGGGTAAACTGTATGCTAAGGTGTTAATTGAAAGAGTTATGAAAGAAACTGATGGAAAAATTTGGGATGTGCAAGCGGGTTTTAGAAAGGGAATGGGGTGTACAGATCAAGCTTTTTCCATGCGCATGATTGCGGAGAAGTTTTTGGCCAAAAACCAGAAATTTTTTGTGCGTTCATGGACTTGTAAAAGGCTTATGACAGAGTGGACAGGAACGTGTTATGGCAAACACTGAACTCATATGGGTTGAGCGCTGGTTTGATACAGGCATTAATGTCTCTTTATAGGAACTCTAGTGCTTGTGTCAGGATCAATGGGGTCTACTCGGACTGGTTTGGCATCCAAAAAGGTGTCAGACAGGGCTGTGTAGCTTCCCCTTGGCTGTTCAACCTATTTATGGACAGGCGTTTGCAAACTTTGAAAGATGAAGAATGTGGGTTAAGAATGGGCGAGTTAACCGTCAAATGTCTTCTGTATGCCGATGATCAAGTCATATTTGCGTCATCGGCGGCTGAGTTGCAAATTATGGTTACATTAATGAACTGGGAATTAAAAGAAAAGGGAATGAAAGTGAACGCAAGTAAGACGAAAATGATGGTTTTTTGAAAGAGTAGAAAGCAAAACGGTATGTGAAATAAGAATAGAAGGAGAGTTAATTGAGCAAGTGGATGAGTTTGTGTATTTGGGATGTGTATTTAGCAAGGATGGTAGATATGATAGGGATATAGAACGACGAGTAAATGCAGGGAATAGAGTGAATGGGGCACTACACTCTATTATGAAGAACCAGAATGTGTCAAAAAAGGCACGTATGGTAATTCATAATGCTGTGTTAGTCCCTACTTTAATGTATGGTAGTGAAAGCTGGGTGTGGCAGAAGAAGCACGAAAGTAGAATAAATGCTGTAGAAATGCAGTCTTTAAGGAATATACTAGGGTTGAATTTGAATGACAGGGTGAGATATTGCGTGATAAGAGATAAATGTGGTATGCAAGATGATGTTGTGACCAGGATTAAGAAAGGAATGCTTCGGTGGTTTGGTCATGTAGAAAGAATGAATGAGGAAAGAGTGACAAAGCAAATTTATATGGCAGATGTGAATGGCCGAGTCGGGAAGGGACGCCCTAGTAAAAAGTTTATCGACCAAATTGGCGATATTTTGAAAATGGGCCACGTTAGAAGTACCCTTAACCGACGAGCATGTATGCGTAGATATATGGATGTAAAGGAGGCGAAAGAGGTATGTCAGGATCGTGCCAAATGGAAGTCCGTAGTCTCTGCCTATCCCTCTGGCTGACAGGCGTGAGTGTTTATATATATTTATATATAATTCATAAGTACAGCAATGACAGGTAAAATACTTCATAAATAACGATTTTTGCTTCAAATCGAATTGATACCGAACCGACCCCGTTGCAAATGTCAACAATTAGCGACTTGACATCAAATTGTCATGTAAACTTTAACTGATGGGTTAGAATCCAGAGGCACGTGTGAGCCACGCGACGAATTTTAGGGCTTCAACCCTAACCAAGTAACGAAGACCTCCGCCGTATAACTGTGTGATACTAAAAATCTACCAAAATTTTCTATAAATGATAACGAATTCGTATTTTCTTATACTGGTCAATGCTGAAAGGTAAAAGCTCTTACCTAGTATTTCTCTATTGTTGTAATTTTGAGGGTGATTTGAGTGTTTATTCGAAAATCGTTGAACGTGAATGAAGCATAAATATTCCATTGTAATAATTGTACACTGTGATTTTTATAATATTATCGACAACAAAAATAAAAAATAAATTTAAAATAACATGAAACTAAAAGCAATTATGTATATTTTTTAAACACCAATCAATTACCCATAAAAAGGTTTATGTCTAATTTGATTTTGCCAATTTTTCAAATATACAACGTTTTTTTGTCATCAATATTCCAGCTTCGAGCGCAAAGATTTGAAATTTCTGGAATTCGGGTTGTCGTCGAGAGACTTGAAAATTATTAAATGTATATTCTAGCAGTTCCCATTACACGCCAACCCCTTGCTCCCCTAAAAGATATTGCGTCAACGTCGTATACTATCATCAATAACGTATCATCCGAGCATGACCAATGTAACAAATGGCATATTTTGATATTTGTACGTACTTATTTTATTTATATATATTTATAAAAGTGTAAGTAGACGTATATACGGCGTAATCTAAAAACATATATCTAGACACGGCGGCCAAAAGTACTTGAGTCAATTTTTGCGCTAAATTCTAAAAAGTCACAGAAATGGTTTTTTTGTATCATCCGTCGACTGGAAGAAGCACGTAAGTCTCCGACGCTTAATTTAGATGCAACAGCCGACTGTACCATATAATTTGTGTTTTATCAACACATCGAGCGGCGACAAAAATTACTTAAATTGACTTAAGTTTTTTTATACTACAAGCTGACTGACTTAAGTGGTTTTTTACAATGGTCCATTTTTGTTTTTTATAATATTTTCAAGTACCTACCCCCTTTTTTAAGGGTATGATAAAGTGGTACATTTTAGTTAAGTCAAAAGAAATACACATTTCTTCATTAGTTGTTATTTGTTTCTGTATGACGGTGGTGGTGTACGTTAAGTTAACTGTGTCGCAATGGATTCAAGGGCCAGAAAATTGGTGAATCTCGCCATAAATAATGACAGTGCAGCAATGAATGAGAATACAGGTATGTTATGAACTTATTTTTCCTGCTCTTATCCCAGTAATTTGGGTCGGGGTAAAATTTTTCTGATGTGAACGTTAGTTTCTCATTTTATTACAATAGGTAATATGCAAAACTGTTTAATAGCTTTAGTTGAGATTACCACACCTCTTTAGAAAGTTTTTTTTATATTTAAAAACATCACAATTTCCAATCTGTTATCAGTTTTTATTATTGTTATTTTTTACAGGTAACGAAAACCCATTCAGTAATCCACAACCAAGTACATCTCGAACCCTAAAACAAACTATTTTAGATGAAACAGTAAGTGACTTTTCTAGTGACGATTCTGTGGCCGATCCTAACTACTCTCCGGGCAGTCCTAGCTTACTTACACAACATAAAGAAATGGAAATTGCTGTTCCTAATGCATCAGTGGATATGCATATAACGTCAGGCAATGAGACACCTGAAAACATTGGAGATATTTCTTTGCTACAACAAAACCAACCAGTGTCCTGTAGAAAAAATAAGCAAGAAAACAAATTAAAAAGAAATCTTGGCCAATCTTATGTAACAACTTCTGGGAAAACTATTGGAAAACGTCAAATGAAAGAATTACCTAACTGTCGCAATAAGTGCCGACAGAAAATAAGTGATAAACAGCGCGCTTTGATACACAAGGAGGTTTGGAATCTTGGGTCTTACGATTTAAGGGCAGCATTCATTTCATCTTTGATCACTATCCAAGAGAAAAAAACTGAACGTCTTCGTGTCGAAGATCCTGACAAACAAATTGTAGACAACACACATAAGAATCATTTCAACGTTAATAGTGAAAAATATCGGTGTGTCAAGGGTGTTTTCAAAAAACCCTATCAATAAGTGATAAATTTGTTAAACTAATCGGGTTAAAGAAAAGTAGCAGCTCAAGTGGCATTATAAAAATAAACGTGGGAAGAATATACCTCCGAACAAACATTCTGAACAAAAAATTGAAGAAATGAAATTTATCATCCACATGATTGGATGCAATTAGTCAGGTCGAGTAACAAAAAAATTTACAGTTTAAGAAATGCGGCAAGCAGATTTTTTTGACTTCACTGGATTATTGAAAGGGTCGTTAGTAGTCCGAAAAAAAGACGATGATGGAAATATTTTCAAATGGCATAATGTGAAGTGGCTGTGTTACGAAGCTGAGTATGGCGTCATAAAATACAAAAAATATCTGTCAAGAGATGAATGTTTCATTACCTTTAATTTCAAACGGAGCACGCGACGAGAAAAGGAATTTAATTTGATGCAGATTACTGCAAAGCCGGTACCAATAAGCATTGAAAAAAAACGTGACATAATATCACTTTTATCTTTAATACCGGAATGTTTCCATAATTTTTACCAGAATTTAGTAACTGCTACAGACACAACTGACGTTGATCCAGATATATCAATTTCTGAAGAAAGTAGCTTTTAGTTTATTATAAAAACTTAACTAATAAGCATTATTATAATTAAATATTATTGATAGTACATTTTCATATTTTTAAACATTAATAAGCTACGTAGTTGTATGGTACAGTAATAAACACTTAAGTTGCGATTTCTTTGCGCACATAAAAACTTAAGTCATATATTTCAGATAATAATAAATAAGTTTGAAATATACAAAATTTAACGTGTAACTAGTTCGTGATTATGTAATAAAAACAATAAAAATAAAAACCGTACTACATTTTTTTCACACCAATCGAATATAACCCTCCGCTGTAAAATTGTTGCATGCAAAAATATTTGACTTAGGTGCTTTTAACTTCCAATTCTAGATATAAATTGCACATGGACAAACAAATTATCTTTAGACTCGAAACAACTATCTTTACGCCATACAAACATTTATTCCGTGCGGAATTCAAACCCGCGGCTCCGCAGTCAAAAGCTTAGTCACTGCGTTACCGAGCCGTCAGTCTTTTACTTTATCAATTAATTTATATCAAAAGTCCACTGCTAAATATAGAACTCCTTAGTTATTGAGCTGGGTATGCGGGTTGGTGGCCGCAATTTTTAGTTTTTGAGATTATCCGGATGTCCTGTCCTGTCCCTGTCCATCTCCTAGATTGGTTCCGTCTGCTGCCTCTTACAGAACCCACGAGACAATATAGGTTAGTGGATATGCTTACACCGCCACTACGTGGCAAAATTTCTCTTCATCATTCTTTCCTATTGTTGACCACTGTCTGAAATAAGCTTGATTTCAGTATTCATTTTCGACGGTTCGCTTCGCTGCACGAGCCATTTTCGACGGTTGTTTATAATTTTAAAGTGCGATAAGTTTTCGCATCTCTAGCATTCACTTTCCTACAATTTTATTCTTGATGTAATTTTTTAAAAGATCTGTACAAGAATTAAATTCAGTTTGAGAGAGAGAGAGGAATAGGTTCCCAAAATTACATCTAGCTTCAAAAATAATACCATCCGTATTTTGTAAGAATGGATTGGAAATAAAACTACTACCTATTATATTTTTTACCTAGTACTCGTATAGGCATAATATAAACACATCAACAGAGAATAGCGATACCTTAATCCTGAATTACTTACGACTTTATAGTTTATAAGCTTTTTAAGGAAACTTAAATTATTTTATATAACCTTTTTTATTCTATTTTCAAAATTTAAAAATGTAAATAAAAAGAAAACAAAATACGGCGACAAAATTGTCAGTAATTTGTTACGTCAAGGAAAATTATAATTGTTCTACTGATATTAATTAATGAAAAGGGATTACATTGTTTTTCTTTTTTAATTTAACATGCCGTGTGAGCTTTAAGACTCATGTGATGTTATCATTTCACTGCTCGTAACATTTCGAGATAAAATGTTACGAGCGGTGGGCATGTTGTACTATTGGCAAATGGTACTATTATTAACGCGTCCTTGCTGAGACCCTACACACTAGCCAAAACGTGATATAAAGGTTATGGTCACGTTATCGCAGTAATCTGGATGTGGCTGAACGGCACACGGGTAGACATTGTGTTACTACGCAGAGACCGGAACGATTACTCCAAAGGACCGCCAGAAGACAACCCAATATCAAAGCAATGCAACAACTACAAAGGCTCCAGGAGGACCACCAGCTGCTGGCAAGCGACCAAACCGTGTAAAGGAGGTTGCATGGAGTTGGTTTTCATGCTCGAAGACCGCTACGTTTTCCAGTATGGCGACGTAGAAATCGCCTTTTGTGGAAATCGACTTTTGTGGGCTCCGGAGAATTTACCATAGAGTGACGAACAATGGTCTTCGGTGCTGTTCACCGATGAGTCCCGGTTTGGGTTTCATCTGAATTTACGAAGAACACGCGTTTGAAGAGCTCTAGGGAGAGCCGTCTACGGCACTCTCAGGAGGTTCTCTACAAGGCGGAACAAGCATGACGTGGGCAGAAATTCGTCTTGGCGGATGGACCCAGCTCGTTTGGATCCAAAACAGCATTACTGCACAAAAATACTACGAGGAAGCAGTAGAGCCTATTATTGCCCCACACAGAATCCGAACGGGCCAGGAATTTCTACTCATGTACTATAATGCTACTTCCCATACGGCGCGCCTGGTATCGGCCGCTCTCCGAGACCACGATATTTAAGTTTTGGATTAGCCTGCACAGTCGTCCGACGTAAATCCTATCGAGCATGCCTGTGACATATCACAACGAAACGTTTTCAGAGATTTCTCGCCAAATTTGACGACGGAACAACAACTTTACGAACTTTCAAAAAACATGGGACCTCAAACCGCAGCCAGACATTGACAATTTAATGATTTCTTAAATTTACGCGAACACTACACATTGAATAAAACTATTATTTACGGATTTTATCGCGTTTAATTACTTTAATTTATTTTTATTATTATCCCGACGTTTCGGGTGCTTTACAGCGCCCATGGTCACGGGGGGGGACTGAGATGTTTGACGTCTCAATGTCATAGTTAGTCCGGCTACCTTCAGTTTTTTTAATATTAATTTTTGGTCCGATTTACGCAAAACGAGCTTATAGTATCATGAAGTCTTGCAGTGGTATGCTTGGGTTTGGGTTTAATTTTGTTAATTATAGGATCCCAAGCAGATGGTAGCACCCAACCATCTTCTCTATTGAAATTTGGATGTTTTTTAATTTCAATAGCTTCGCGTATCATCCTTGGTAGGAATCGGTGTTCTTTTGCGAGAATTTGTGGTTTATCAAATCTAATGTAATGGTGGGGACGATCTTGAACATGTTCGCAGACTGCAGACTTCCCTCTTCGGGATAATAATAAAAATAAATTAAAGTAATTAAACGCGATAAAATCCGTAAATAATAGTTTTATTCAATTGACAATTTAATTTTAAGTATGAACAACACAAGGTTGCCATGTAGTGGCGGTTAAGAATATCCACTACCCCATATCTTCCCGTGGGTGTCGTAAAAGGCGACAGAGGGAAACAGGCAGGAGATGGGCAGCAGCATCTCCCTGATAGCAGCAACTGTTAAACAAAAAAACTGCGGTTGCCAACCCGATCACCAAGCGTGGTAACTACGGCAATATACCCCCCTATGAGCAACGGCGCAAATAGACGGCCCCCAGTCCCCGGTGGCCCCGCTATTCTTGGCTACAGTGGCGACCATGGTAAAGGCGGGGCTAAGAATCTCCGTTGGAGGTTCGGTTGCCGCATACGATGACTCGATCTGCCAACATATAACGCACGCACCCTGAAGACTGACGAGAAGATCCTAGAGCTGGAAGAAGAGATAGACAAGTTGCGCTGGAATATTATAGGATTATCCGAGGTCCGAAGAGAGGGGGAGGATAAGGTGATTCTCAAATCCGGCAACTTGTTCTATCACCGGGAGGGGACCATCTCTGTCCCAAGGAGATGTTGTTATAGTCCACAAGTCTCTGGTTAACAACGTTGTAAAGATTGGGAGCGTCTCGACGAGGGTTGCGTACCTTATACTCAGAATTACCAAATGGTATTCGCTGACGGTCGTTCAGGTTTATGCATCAACGTCGGCACATCCTGATGAGGAGGTGGATGAAATGTATGAGGATATTTCTAGAGCCATGCATTCCTCAAAACGCACTATACGGTGTTAATAGGAGACTTCAATGCAAAACTATGCACGAGAAAGAACAGTGACACGTTGGAACTCGATGGATGCAGGTGGCTCAGGACAGTGCTTTGTAGCATTCCTTGGTGGAGGCCTATGTTCAGCAGTGGACTTCTAAAGGGCTGTAATGACGATGATGAACAATCGATGTCAATATGTAATTAATGAAAAATGTAGCAACACTGATTATTAAAAATTCGATTTTATAAAAAAAATTTCAATTTCAATTAAAGTAAATAGTTTTATAAAAAGAAATAAATTAATATTTTATTTTAAAACAATACAAAATGTTTTTATATTTTATTAAAGACCTTAAAATAATCTGTAATTCTTCCATTTACTGTATCAGAAATTTCTTCATAGATTTTTAGATATTTGATTAATATAAAATATCCCTAGATTCTGTTGATATGTTTATGAATATTAAATTTTTTTCGGTATTAGTATGTAATTTAAAAATCAATTTAAATGCCATAAGTAATTTGAAATGCCACTGGCTAAAAATTATCAATGCATCGTTTTTAAATACCTTTTTATTTAATAAATTACAAAGCAAATTGTTCCTTGCAATAAAGCATCAATTAAGAAAGCAATCACGTTCATACCACAGAATGTTCAGTGTACACTGACGACTCGTGCGCGTTAAAATTCAAGTTGAGTGCAGTCTAAAGGGAATACGGTATAAGAGGCCGGTTTAACCGAATTGTTATCCGTAGGGTTTAATTATGTCTGCGGACGTAA